GCTGTCATTCTACATTATTATTATTGTTATTATTATTATTATTTTGGTTTTATTATATCTGCCAATGATAAGACAATAGCCAACTAGAAATTACACAGAGATACTATATAGCAGAGAGCATTGGCAAAGTCCCAACACTTAGAGCTCTAGAAAAAGTTCATATCTTTCCTTAGTAAGCAAATCCTGGGTGAAGTTTTTATATCATTTGTTATTTAGTGTTCACTATTTAAATAATCCTCAAAGGTGAATGTGGTAATGCTCTATGTTGCTCACTGGTATTTGTTTAAAATAAAAGTGGGAAAAATGGATGTAGATGAAAGGAGAAGTAAATGGAGAAGAAAAAAATAAAAAAGGAAGGAAAGAGAGAAAAAGAGAAGGAAGAAAGAAAGGATAAGTGCTAGATATGTAATGTTAGAACTGTGCTCACCATAGCAAAGCAGACACTGAGAGTAGACAGTGTGCTGCCAAGAAGCCAAGGGGAGACTCAGAAAAACTAGTGCTCAACAATGTCAAAGGCCAAAAGGAGAATGTAAACAGATATGACAGGACACAATCACTGCCTTTTGTGTGACCTGTAAGGCCAGCTGCTTGTATACATATATAGGAATATGTATATAAGAACAAGTATTATATATAGAGAGAGAGTTTTGACAGATGGACTTGGGGCTGAGCTATGTTCTACGTTCAGAGGAAAGTTCAGTGTAGAAGGAGAAAAGTGTCAGAGGATAGAAGTATTCAAGCTTTGGGAAAACACATCCCAGAAACACAAAGGGAAGTGACTCATAGGCACTTCCATCTAGGTTGATGATGTATGTTGATTCACATTATCAATAAACATCAGGAAAGTTGTATTTACTAAAATGGGCCATGAATTTGATTTAGCAGTGTCTTTGTAAGCTATGTTTCATTTGTTAGTTTGCATTTATCAGAAATTTAAAGATAATATATCTAAACTGAACATAAGTAGATTTTTCAGAAAACTGCTTTCTTTCTACATGAAGGTCTTTTGACCTCTTTGGCTCTGAAACTTTTCATCTTTGAGAGAGGAAAATGGGCAACATCACTCCTCAAGTTCTTCCTAAGTACACCTCAATGATATGGGAAATTGTTTTTTAAAAGAACATCTAAGTATGCATATATAATCAAATCATTTAATTACCCACTGCTTTTTTATTATTATTAAACTAATCACAAACTTCTCACATTCTATTTTAATGCTTGCACTTTTAAAAGTTCAAGTTCCTTAACTAGTTTTAAATAAAGCACAAGTTATAAAAGGTTGTTCGATATGCACAATCTAACAGGTTTTTCCTCAGCAGATGGCTTATAATGATTTCACAGTTTTGTGAAGTCTGTAAAATTTTAACATGATAGCACTGAAATCATTGTAGGAATGATGTACCCATTTCTTCATTATAAAACCAGGATGCAAAGATATTTGGTGGCTTGCTATTGGTCACCTGTCCACATGTGCTATAGTCCTGAGTCTATATAGAAAAACCTGACACACAAACTCATGTGAGCATGGACGCCTCTGCTCTCTTTAAGCTTGATAAAATTTAGTCTGTTTTTCACTTGTTTCCCACTCATCTTGTTACTTGTACAAGTGTCTAGACCCCACTCCTGTTGGTTTTCCCATGCTGTGTCTAGGTTCTACTCTAACCAAAGTCTTCATTTGCTGTGATGCCCTCATGTATAGTGCTTCTCCTCAGAATAGCCTCTAATCCTACCTTCAGAAAGGTGCAAGATGGGAAATGTGCTGCTTAAGAGCATCAAGAACCTAGTGATTGTGTGTGTATGTGTGTGTGCACGCGCCTGTGTGCATGTGAGTGGGTGTGTGTGTACAAATTTACATGTGCATATGGAAGGATTGCTCACTTGTATGTATGTGCTTGTGAAGGCTAGAGGACAACTTCTGACATTGTCCTCAGAAACTTTTCCATCTTCTTTGAGTTAGGATCTCTCATTGGCCTCAAGTCACCAACTAGACCTGCCCCACTGAGCAGCAGGGATTGACCTATCTCTTCAGTAACTCTGATGTGAATTGCAAACAGGCACTATCAACATGCTGCAGAATTTAAAATGTGTTCTGGAGACATAACTCTTGTTCTCATCTTTGTGAGGTAAGAATTTTAGTGACTGAGCTATCCCCTTGTCCTGGAATCTTATTAAAAAGAAGATCAATGAAGAAGCAACCACTGGACAACTGTGCCTCATACATTTGACAGTAGTATAGGACAAAACAATGTCACCAGTTTCTCCTTCATATATCCTTTTAAAGAAATGTCATCAACAATAGACATGTATTAGGGTATTTAGTGTTATCACAAACACATAAAAGGATTTTAAAGAAATTAAAAACTTCCTCAAACTGCTCACTGAAGATATTTATTGTATTTTGTCAGCAACCCAAAAAAGCCTTTGTGGGAGCCAAGTAGCTGATATGTGAAACTTCCTGTTTCCTTTGCCAGCTGTCATAGACTCCTTTTATACCTGTCTGTGTGTGACCTTGTGATTCTAACAGAGGCTGATGGCAAAATGATACCTTGCAGATTAAGGACCTTTCTGGAAAGAAGCATCTGCAATTCCATGTGTGGTCAGCATACTTTCAAGGGCCTAGAAGCTCTCTTCCAGATTTGTGACTATCAGACAGATGCACACAACAAAGCAAGGGAAGGGACCTAAGTTCAAATACACTGAAGACCTCAAGTCCCAGCATTTCATTGCTGTCTTTTCTGTGATTCTGAGTTTTATGACAAATGTCTACTACAACCTCAGACAGAGTTCTGTTTTCTGTCAGATAAAAATCACCAAAGAAGCTGGGAACAATGATTCCTACCAGTAAGTAACCCAAACTCTTAAGAGACTGAGGCAGGAAGATTGTGAGTTCAAGGCCAGCTTTAGCTATATTTCAAGAATTCAGACTCATCCAAAGCACAGACCTCTGTAGAGATACATGGTTCTTTCTGTACAAATAGTCAAACAGTTGTCCTGAAGGCTGCACCTCTACCTTACACAGAGCACTTACAAAGAGAGTCCTGAATGCTTTCTCAAGGTTGATGTGACCACACTGTCAGAGATTCCTAATAGTCTTTCTGTAACCAAATTTCCCTGTATGTGCATGACAAGATATCAAGACCATTGTCACAGCCAAATAAGTCTGTGTGAAGCTCTGCCCAGCAGGTGCTGGAGAATGCCAACCAGGATTTGGAGTCCTGACCTGAGTGTGGCAACAGAGTTTACATTCCCCATGAGTTTAGTTCACATGTTAGTTGCATAAAATACATTTCATTTGTACACAATGTTGAAATTCTGAGTAGAATGACCTACATACAGAGCAGAAGTTAAGTTACTGTCATAATGGCCTCATGTATATAAAGTGAGATTTGCCTTCTAAGGACTAGAAATAGATACAGTATACCATAATACCCCAATCCAATGAAGATCAACTTTGAAAAAATTGTTACTAACATAATAACCATAATGGTGAAGAGGAGAAGCTAATGACTGCTAAGAGTTTACCCCTAGACAAAAGCTATGCTTGCTGTTTATTTTGCCTTCCAGAGAAACTCAGTATTAATACTTCAATGAATGATTTTACTTTAGATAAAACGTTCAGCAGCTTAGACTTGTCCTTTCCCAACAAATATCTCATTTGCATATATCAGCGCCTGCTGCTCCTGCACAGCTGTGACTTAGGCAGTAGTTTGAGGGGATGTTAGTAGCACATGACCTAGGAATGGAAATGCCATCGACCCTGCAAAGACAAGAGGATGTATCTTGCCCGATGTGCTGTCTGTGATGATCACCATCCTGAACTGAGTTTCTAGCGATTAGGTTCTGCCTTCTATTTGTGTCTTCATTTTACTTTGAAAAAGACCCCCTCTTCCCTCTTGTCCCTCTTCTTTTGTTCGCTCACACTTTCATAGCCTGTTTTCTCACATCAACATTAGATAATGGCTAAAGTATCATTGCCTGCTTGCTGGCCTCCTCTCATACATGCTGGGAACAGGAGAAGGCATGTATGTTCCCACACTCCCTGACAATGGTGATTTATATTCCAAGCTTCACATTATAAAATACTTTGTAAGCTACTAATAACAATTATGTAAGGTTACAATGGATAATAAAACTTATATGAACAAAGAAAGTAATCAAACTGTCCTATGCCAAATGCTATGCTGTTAATACACTAATTACTTTCATCAGAGATCTGAGATAAAACTGAAAAGTATCATAAGGTCAGATGAAGATCATGACTTGCTGAAAAATAAACACACTTTTACTCCAATTATTTCAGTGAAAACAAGGAACATTGATAATCACACCAGGAAGAATGTTCTTAAAAGTCTCCACTCCTTCCTTTTCATTTACAAAAGCAGCATTTACCTATTTCAGGAAATCGACAAACTCAAAATCATGTAAACAAAGAGATGAGTGATCATTTTATTGCTCCAAAATTACATTTAAGGATATTTTGTGGCAGAATAAACATGTTGTAACCAATATTAAATATGTATAATTTTAAATGTACTTGGGAACTTCAAGTTCTTTGGAATATAATCCATTAAAATTTTTCTGATGACTGAGTTTTGGTTCTGGATTTATATCTGAGTACAATTCTACATGAGATCACAGTATCTAGTAATTATTGTGGTTTAACTTACTCCATCATTTTAGATTGGTGTCATATTTGTTGTATATGTAATAAATAAATTCATATGCCACCAAATATGCCAAAATTATACATTATAGAAATAATCACATGTATGGAGAATCAAATTGTGCTTATACACATTAATTTCTGCATTTCTTTCTCCATCTTTGCCTATCTTTAATACCAAAATGTGTATTATATCCTAGAAGATAGAACTGAACTCAACTGCCATCAGTTTCTATAGATAATTTTTACAATAAAAAAATCTTTTTCCTCTGCCCCTTGCATGGGCAGGTCGATTTCTATTGAAAATGGCTTCAAGCTGGCTCTAATATTTACTCACTTATGCAGGTGCGTTCATCAGCATGGCGTCTGTACCCTGTATCACACACACAGTGGAAGGTGCCCAGAGTGTTAATACAGCGCTGCTGGCAGCCTCCATTCACCAGCGCACATTCATCGATGT